TTTAAAAATCTGTATTGTTCGATACAAATGTGTATTGAACCTAAAGCACTGTTTGATACGGTTCGATATGGGTACATATATTGTTGCATCCCTAATATAAATATATATAATATAACATAATCAGTAACTTACAGTATGTTGTTATACTGTCAAATCACAAATTATGGCAGTAATTTAATTTTGTAGACACACACTATCTGTAACACTAGGAACTAATTACAAAACGTAAACAATAATTCATAAAATGAGCTAGAAAATAGAAATATGTAAATAAAGCATAAATGCATGAGTGATATTTAGAATTTGATTATGATTATTATATTATAATGATTATTTATTACCCTGTCCTTTTAAAAAAATGATTGGCTGAGATATATGTACAGTTTATTTTCTGTATGTGTGTAATATTTGATTATTTGTGTGTATTAAGTCTACTTTTCATTGTATTTTATTTGGAATTTGACCTATTTGAGGCTTTTGGATGTTAATATAAATTCTGTATTTTTGAACAATGGCTGCTTGCATCTATTTAAAGATGGAAACTGTTTAAATCTTTCTAGCTTCAGTTTATTAAACAGATCAGCTGGAGCTCATTTGGTGTGCAGAATGTCTTATCAGTCTATTACAGCAGAACTAACAGAAGCTGTTTTATGCATGAAATTTAAAGAAAAGGATAAGCTGTCTTGGCCTTGGCGCCTGGTCTGCTGTTCACATTTATCTTCACAGCTTGAAATGGTTCTGGAGTCGTGCTCTCACAGCTGAAATACAAGACAGGGCTTTAGAGGGGAAATCCTTCTCTTTTACAAAATGTCAGAGGGGACAGGCTGTTTTCTGGTCATATATACTCCATCTAATTAATATTAAACCACCAACGCTTTACAGTGTACTTGCAGAAGTATAAATGCTTTTCAGGCCTTTTAAATACTTAAAAGTTTTTTTTTTTTTGTAAAGATTATCTTTTTGACTGAATTCTGTATTCCTCACTTGTTCATTATTTGAAGATGTATGGTTGTTTGGATAAACCAACTCAGGTGCATCTCTTCTTTTAGACAGAAGAGACTTTTAAAAACAGGACGCTTCACAGCACTGAATAAAGGTTTTGTAGATGAATACTTTTCATGTTGGGAGTAATAATAATAATAATAAAAATAATCATTTTATTTGAAAAGCGCCTTTCAGTACACCCAAGGACACTTACAGCATTATATCATAGAAGACTGTGTGAAATTACAAAGACAAGCTGGCATTAGTTACAGAGCATGGATTACAAATGAAGGATGGATATGCTAATCTAAAGAGATGTGTTTTCAAAGCAGTCTTAAACCCAGGAAGAGAGGTGGTGTTTCTTAGGTCAGGTGGTAGAGAGTTACAGAGGAGAGGAGCAGAACAGGTGAAGGCCCTGCTCCCCATGGTGGAGAGGCGGGCAGTGGGCACTTGGAGGTTTATGGAAGAAGAGGATCTGAGAAAGCGGGAGGGGATGGAGATGTGTACGAGGTCGGACATGTAAGGAGGGGCAAGATGGTGGATAGCTTTAAAMRTGAGAAGAAGAATTTTGAAGAYGATGCGTGATTTGACCGGGAGCCAGTGGAGCTGCTGCAGGTCTGGGGTGATGTGGTTATGGGAGGAGGACTGGGTGATGACACRTGCAGCTGAGTTCTGCACCATCTGAAGCTTATGGAGGGATTTGTTGGGGAGGCCAAAACGAAGAGAGTTACAGTAATCGATCTGTGAGGTCACAGGACTGTGGACAAGGATGGCTGAGGTGCAGGGTGTGAGAGAAGGACGGAGACGGTTGATATTTCTGAGGTGGAAGTAGGCAGACAGAGTAACATTATTGATGTGAGCAGTGAAGGAGAGAGTGGTCGAGGATGACACCAAGACTCGACCTGAGGGGAGGGGGTTAGCAGAGAGTTGTTGATAGGGATGAGGAGATTATTAGATTTTGAGATTGAATTTTTAGTGTCGACAAGAATGATTTCTGTTTTATCACTATTCAGTTGAAGGAAATTGTCTGAAAACCATTGATTGAGTTCATTGAGACAGTCAGAGGATGGAGGGAGGGTGTGTGGAGTATGGCTTGGTCAGGTAGAGCTGTGTGTCATCGGCATAACAATGGAAACGGACACCAAACTTGTGGAAAATGTAACCCAGAGGAAGGAGGTATCATAAGTAATGAAGAGAAGAGGTCCAAGGACAGAGCCTTGGGGCACACCAGTGGAGACGGGGGATGACTTAGAGCAGAAGGATTTAATCTGGATGAATTGAGTGCGGTTAGAAAGATAAGATTTGAACCAGTCAAATGCGGTTCCTGAGATGCCAATGGATGTGAGTCTGTTGAGGAGAATAGAATGAGAGATTGTATTAAAAGCAGCACTTAGGTCAAGTAGGACATGAGTACACCTTCAAAGTACAGACACATTTAAAGAGTACATGAGGAGCAAACAACAGTACAGACCAGAGGCACCATGGACTTGGTTTGTGATCATCCTTGACCTGTGATTGGTTGGTCCAACACTCAATTATCCAATATTTATCCAGTCAGTGAAAGCATCATAGCTAAGGTACAACAGTCCAACTGTGTGGACAAAGAGGAGAAAATATTGAAGTTAAGTGTTTAAAGCTAAAGTCAGAAGAAAAACGAGGTGGAGAGGCTTTAAAAAAGGTAGAGTTTTCTAAAACAACAAAAAACTTTAGACAGCAAACATTTGAAAGGCTGTATTACAGGAAAACTGCATGAAACACTCAGAATTAGAAGTGTTGGAAAACAGGCCTTATTTACTGACACAACACTGCTGTAAGACCACATCCTCTTTTCCCCTTACCTGAAGGCAAACATTTCAACATGATCAGACTGTCCCTAAGCCATCAACATATTATCACAGCACTTAATAAGTGATCATTTCATGTCCACGGCTGCAGAGATATTTATGGTTGCGTTCCCACATGCATGATTAGGACACCTAAATGTTAACTGGTACAATCATTTCCACAGAGGATGGGGGTTCTGAATGTGGGTCAGCGCATTGAAGAGCAGGCCGAGTTTGAAAAGATCTACAAAAACGGTAAGAGTCTGCTCCTGCTCACCTGTTGGCATGTGTTGTGTGGTTAGTGTTCACTGTAGTGACTGTGTGTATCCTCTGTATGTGTGTGTGTGCCCTCTAACCAGCATGGGCTGACAATGCCAATGCATGTGCTGTGCAGTATGCTGGAACTGGAGCCTTAAAAACTGACTTCACAAGGTACAGTGGGACAGCCTCGTGCTCCATCACAGACTAACACATGGTGTCTCTCTGCACCACGGTTCTTTTAACTGAATCAGTTTATTTCTTCATCAGGACCGGGAAAAGGACCAGGTGGGGCCTTCTGATGGATGGTTGGAACTCCATGATCCGCTACTACAAAAATAACTTTTCAGATGGGTTCAGACAGGTAAGTTTAAGTCTGCAACAACAGGGACTTAAGGCTGGTTTGAGACAGCAGAGCAGTGATGACATCATTTGTGATATACTGTATTTCTCTGACTGTTTATACTTTCATAGAAGACAAGTGGGCTCCCAGTGTAGCACAAGTTGTACATAGATAGGCAACTTTATGATGTATTAGATGTTTGGAGAGAGTTTTGTGTGTTTGGATTAATTATTTTTATTGTTAACCATGAAGATGAAAAGGAGAGTTGAACTTTGGTTGCAAAGTTCATTTTGCTAATTTAACAACCAGCTTCTGTGAACCAACCGTTTTCAGCAAAATGCTCTGCAGAGCTGAACTGAACTGCATAAACAAACACTCTTACAAAGTCCTGCAGTGTTCATGCCGGGTCTTAAAAAGTCTAAAAAAGTCTAAAATTTGAAAATGAAAATTTTAGGCCTAAAAAAGTCTTAAAAACGCCCAGATTTTCACCCAGGGTCTTAAATTTTATCTAAGACCCTGGGTGAAAAGGGTCTTAATTTTTTCTACTTTTGATCATTCCTGAGAACCGTTGGCTGCGTAAAGAAAGAAAGTTAAGAGTCGTAATCAGAGGTTGACTCGATCTGTCTTCATGAAGTGCTAAGTTTGCTACTGGTCATGATTAAACTGCAAATCCCCTGATAACTGCAGGTAAAACTGTCACAGTTTACTTCCATGTTTTTGACCTCTTTGCTGCTACAGCCCCCCACATACAGCCCCCCACATACAACCCCCCACATACAGCTGGCTTATTTACCTGCTCAAAAAACAGAAGTTCAGTCATGTCCACTGCTTGTTGTTTAAATATGGGAAAGTGTGTTTTCAATGAGACTTGACTTGATATCAGTGATTTTTTTCACTCAGTTGAAAGCGGTTCACAGCAGTCAGATATGACTTTCATTCAAATAATTTAGTGTTCTTGTATTAAAATTAAATATTCTTTAATGGCTAAATTAATAGCAATAAAAGGTTTCTATGCTAAAATTTCTGCGACCGTTTGAATGTTTCTGTTAATGTGTCGATTTGGTCTTAAATGTCATTACTAATGGTCTTAAAAGGTCTTAAATTTAACTTTCTGAAACCTGCACGAACCCTGTCCTGACCAATCACACTGAGCTGCATCGCTCTGCACTGCTTCTGACTGGAGGAGATGTAAAAGACAGGGTTTCAGCTGGAGACAACAGACAGAAGTTAAGGAATTTATTTCTCACACACAACTGTAACCAGGTGAGAAAGAAAGTATAAATCAGCCTTTAGTGTGGAGCTTTATCAAGATTTACCAGCTACAGGTTCTAGTGGGTTCATGTGGCTGGTTAGTCTGGGACTGGTTAGTCTGGGACTGGTTAGTCTGGGACTGGTTAGTCTGGGACTGGTTAGTCTGGGACTGGTTAGTCTGGGACTGGTTAGTTTGGGACCTTTTTATTTGACAGAAGCTTCATTCAACGTATGAAATGGTTTCTAAGAATTACATTTGTGAAATTATCAAACATTTAAGTTGTTTTAGGCCTACACTGCAAATAATACATGATCTTTTATTGTTGTTAATTTATTTATTTATTTATAATCATTTTATTTCATTTGATAAAAAACACCAAATTTTAACTCAACACAAACACAATATCATTTAATGAAAATGAGCAGAAAGAATAAAAACATTGTATAACGTCTGCCCCCATTTAACAAAAAATATATATACATATACATAAATAATGATTTCACACCCTAATGATCAACTAAAAAAGAAAAAGACAAGAAAAAATAAAAACATTGTATAACGTCTGCCCCCATTTAACAAAAAATATATATACATATACATAAATAAATATATGTACCATGACATAATTAAATTTACCTTTTCAATTCTGAAATTAAATAATTAAATGTGATGTTTAAAGGAAAGTTTTGTTTTAAAACCTATTTAATTATTTCAATGTGTGTTTATTTATTTCATGGCTCTGGTACGAGTGCTGTTATCTTAAAATTATTTAAATTGTCAAACCCAGCCATCAAACTCAGTGGGCTGGGCTTATGCTAATCCTGTGAAATCATTTGCTTTGGTTCATTGTCTGTTCAAATATGGCAGGGACAAGTTTGGTATTTTAAAGACTAAAATTATATATGTGTATGTGTGTGTGCGTGTGCGTGTGCGTGTGCGTGTGCGTGTGCGTGTGTGTGTGTGTGTGTGTGTGTGTGTGTGTGTGTGTGTGTGTGTGTGT